CTCTCCTCTCCTCTCCTCTCCTCTCCTCTCCTCTCCTCTCCTCTCCTCTCCTCTCCTATCCTATCCTATCCTATCCTATCCTATCCTATTCACAAGTAAGAAAATGTTGCTTGTCATCTCTCAGAAGAAGTAAATCTTAGAACAGCAAAAGGGTTAACTAGCTTTGCACGAGCTGACTTGCAGTGTTCAGAGAATGTCAGGTCATATGGTCATCCTTCCTCCAATCTCATCTTGCATCCGAGCAGGTTCGGTGCTGGCTCCTGCTTCCAAACAAAATGCTGCTATCTTTTCCCACCAGAGTGGTATCTATTGATCTACTTGCATTTTTAGGTTGCTTTGAACTGCTATGTGTGCAGGACTAGGGGCAAATGATAGGAGCTCACTCCACCATCTGGTTCTAGTTCACCCCTGTGGTTTGCCCTAGATAACACACATGCATGAACAAAGTGAACTGGCAAATCTTAGACTGCCAGAACTACTGGTGAAAAGCATTGTAGCTTTCCCTGGCTATATGTGCTTAAATAAAAAAAATAAGACCCTTTACTTTCTTTTTTCCCTTTTTAAATTCCATTTTGTATATTACTTTATTTTTCTTTCTGAGAAAATTTTCAATAATATTGTAAAAATGGTAATATCAATTAATGAAAATAGATAAAAATAAATAATAATTATTTATTTAATAATAACTAATAAAAACAAACAGAAGAAATAATGTACACCCATAACAAAGGATACATATATCATGAAGGAAGAGGAAACAATTGTTTAATGCCAACCTACCATAAGCAGAAGTGGGTTTCAATTTTATTTGCTACCGGTTCACTCGCGGGTTATAATGTGCTCGCAACGCTTCTGCGCGCACACAGAAGCTTCTGCACATGGGACAGAGACGTCCGGGCGGGTGAGCAGAGAGCCTACCACCACCACCGCTACCGGTTCGCCCAATCCGGGATCAACTGATAGCAACCCACCACTGACTATAAGGCCTTGGAAAACTGTGTTTTTAATGATTTGTGGGCTAACATCAGGATGAGATCCTTATATACATTCCAATCAATGGCCATGTTTGACCAAGGAAACCAGACTCAAACCAATTCTGCTTGATCTTACTAGATAGGCAGAAAGTACTACAGATGGCTTATAAATTATAAATCAGACCCTATAAATTAGAGGACTTTATAGGTAAAATCAACATGTTGAATTGCACTTGGAAGCCAATTGGAAAGCAAGTTTTTAAATATTGAGACATGTGGGCATAATGTAGCAGACCCATCACTATCTACACTGCTATATTCTGAACCACTTCCAATTATTGAGTGGACTTCAGTGAATATATCAGTATAGGTAGTCCTCATTTAGTGACCACAATTAGGACCAATAATTTGACTGTTCACTGTACAAAGCAATTGTGTTTGGAAGAGTTAGTGATAAAACGAAACCAGGCCATCAAGGAAAATGATTTCTGGACACTATCAAAGCTGACACCAGCCAGAGCATAGAAAATAAAGAAATAGTGCAATATCAGAAGATGCGGGAAGACCCATAGAATCACCAAGAGTCAGATTCAACTTAATGGGTAATATCTTCATCAATTTGACTGTTAAGTGTAGCAGTCACTAATTGAAAGCATGACTATTAGAGGTAGTCCTCGACTTACAACAGTTTGTTTAGTGACCATTCAAAGTTACAACGGCATTGAAAAATGTGACTTATGACCTTTTTTCACAGTTACAATCTTTGTAGCATCCTCATAATCATGTGATCAAAATTCAGATGCTTGGCAATTAGTTCATATTTAGGACAGTTGCTGTGCCCCAAGATCGTGTGATCTTCTTTTGCGACCTTCTGACAAGCAAAGTCAATGGGGAAGCCAGATTCACTTAACAACCGGGTTACTAAATTATCAACTGAAATGATTTACTTAACAACTAAGGAAAGTAAAGTCATAAAATGGGCAAAACTCACTTAACAAATGTCTCGCTTACCAATAGAAATTTTAGGCTCAGTTGTGGTAGTAAGTCAAGAATCACCTGTAGTTATGATCTTACTTCAGCTTTCCTTTGCTTTACAGACCTGCAGAGGTTGTAGATTACTCACAATTATTTTTTTATCACATCATAACTAGGAATGGTCAGTTGCTGACTAAGGCAGCTTTTTGGAGTATAAGATGGACTCCCCCCCAAAAAAGTGGGTGAAAGTTGTGTTGAGTCTTATACACTGAATGTTGCCAAAACCTCGCCCACCTGCCGGTCCCCACTCTTCGACCATTTTCAGGCCAAAAATGCAATGCGCAAAGGCCGAAAAACAGGGTGCAGAGGTGGCAATCGGTGGCGATGTGCTGTGGTAATCCCCGCAGCCTGGAAAAGAAGGCATGGAGAGGCCAAAAATGCAATGTGCGGAGGTGGCAATGGGCTGTGGTAAACCCTGCAACCTGGAACAGGTCTAAAAGAAGGCATGGAGAGGCCGAAAACGCGATGTGTGGAGGCAACATTGGGCTGTGGTAATCCCTGCAACCTGGAGCATCTTTTTTTTTTTTTGAATTTTTTATTTTTTTATTTTTAAACAAAACAAAACATAAAACAACCATCATCCCTTACAATTATAGATAGTGTGTCGATCGGTTACAATTCTTTTGTGCTTAATCCCATATCCAAAATTAACAGGTTATTTAATTTCTCTTATTTGACAATTTATTATATCCCTTTATGGTATTATTCTCATTTAACAATTATTTAACAATGGCTTGTCTCCCATAAAAAACCGCTTCATATATTTTATTATTGCATTTATTTCATATTTCATACTTCATTTCCATGCTTTATTATCTAGCCATTGATAAAATAAATCCCATATCATATAATATTGTTTATCTTCCTGTTCTTTAATTTCAAATATCAGTTTACTCATTTCAGCACATTCCATAACTTTCTTAATAACTTCATCTTCAGTAGGTGTTTTCTCCTTTTTCCAATTTTTACCAAATACAATTCTAGCCGCTGTTAAAACATTCACTATTAAATATCTCAGTTCTTTATTATATGTTTCTGGTAAAATCCCTAATAAAAATATCTCAGGTTAAAAGTCAATGTGTTTCTTCGTCATTTTTTCCAGCCATGTGTGGATTTTAGTCCAATATCTTTTAGCTTCTACACATGTCCACCACATATGGTAATATGAGCCTGGAGTCTGATGATATTTCCAACATTTCTCTGATTTGTTCTTGAACATTCTGGCTATTCTCGTCGGGGGTAAATGCCACCTGTAAAACATCTTATACAAATTCTCCTTATATGCTGTTGACATTGTCATTTTATAATTTTGCAACCACAATTTTTGCCATTTTTCTAAATCAATCCCATGACCAAAATTTTTCCCCCATGCAATCATTGTTTCTTTAACTTGTTCTTCCAATTTTCCTTCTAATAAATAACCATACAATTTTTTAATTAGATAGTCATCAGAACCTGTTAAAATTTTATCTAAATTAGTCAAGTTACTGTAAAAACCCTCTGTCTTTATCTTTATCTTTATCATACCTAGACTGTATTTGCATATATGAAAACCAATCCATTTTTATCTCTTGTTCTTCTAATTCTTGCTTCAATTTAAGTTCACCCTTTTCATTCAATAATTCACTATATCTAACAATATGTTCCTTTCTAAATGTTATTGAATATGAGAATGCTTCAATGGTGGATAACCAGATTGGAATTTTTAAATAATGATGTCTTTTAATCTTCTCCCAATTTGATAACAAAGACTCTCGTATAACATGTCTTCTAAAATACCCCTGTGTTTTTGTACTCTTGTACCATAAGAAAGCATGCCAACCCAGCAGCAAGTCATGTCCTTCTAAAGTCAACAATCTAATATTTCTTAACAATATCCATTCTTTAATCCATATCAAATTACTAGCTTGGTAATATAATTCTCAGTCCGGTAAACCAAAACCTCCTCTTAGCCTGGAACATCTTTTTGATGGTATTCTGGGAGGCCAATCCAACCGCCAATCAGCTGCTCGGGCTGAATCAGGCTGCAATAACATGCTGAAGCTGACCAGGCTTTTTGCTGTTTGCTGCAAGGATGCTATCCACATGAATACTGATGAATGCTGGTAGGCAGAGGCAGAATTTTTTTTCTTCTTTTCCTCCCCAAAAACGAATATGCTTTTTATACTCCAGAGTGTCTTAAATTGTGAAAAATATGGGTATATCATTCATCCATGGCTCAGGACCTGGGTACTTGCGGGACCGCCTACTACCACCAATAGCCTCCCACCGGCCGGTACGCTCCCACGGAGAGGGGCTCCTCCGGGTGCCGTCGGCCAAACAATGCCGACTGGTGGCCCCCAGGTGGAGAGCCTTCTCTGTGGGGGCACCTACTATCTGGAACGAGCTCCCCCCGGAGATACAGAGGATCCCGGATCTGCGCACCTTCCGCCGCGCCTTAAAGACTTTTTTATTTCACCAGGCAGGCCTGGCCTAATTTTCTCCCTCTTTTATAAAAGATTTTTAAATTTTTAATATTTTTTAGTATTTTATATATTCAAATTTTAAAATTGGTTTTAAATTGATTGGGGTTTTAAATTTGTTTGGGCCAAAACTATTTAATTTGATTTTAATTCCACTTTTAAATTTTGTATGTATGTATTTTATTGTTTGGCTGTGCACCGCCCTGAGTCCTTTGGGAGTAGGGCAGTATAGAAATCAAATCAAATAAATAAATAAATAATATACCATTCATTGTTTCTTGCCTTTCAGTAACTGCCTCTTATTGTTCAGATCAGGCCTCAGAAGAAGAATAAAACATTTGGGGAAACAGATGCAACCCAATAACCCTGCACTAGAAGATAATATGGAAAAGATCTCCACAGCCACCATGTATTTTCCCTTGGTACTCAGATATGTTGGAAAAAAGGACATCCAGACACTACAAAAACACAAGAGGCTGAAGAAGATAAACTTGGTCTCATTAAAACTGTTTGGTAAATGCCGGGATAGAAAAGCCACACTGAAACCAACAATAGCAAGGAAAAGAAGGTAGAGTAAGACACAATAAAACATGAGAGTAGAGCCTTCATTACATCCCAGAATGATTTTATCTGCCACTAAATTCATATCAGCATCTGGATATGGGGGTGAGGTTATAAGCCATACAGTACAGACAAGGACTTGAATGAGGGAACAAGAAACAACAATGTAATTATCTAATTGTTTGCCCAGCCATCTCTTCATCTTGGATCCTGGCATTGAAGCCATGAAAACGATCACCACGATGATGGTTTTGGCCAATATACAAGAAATGGCTACTGAGAAGACAATCCCAAAAGCAGGTTGTTGGAAAAGGCAGGTGACCTTTTCAGGTTGTCCAATGAATAATAAACTGCAAAGGAATGAGAGCACAAGGGAGACGAGGAGAAGGTAGGTGATGTTCCGGTTGTTGGCCTTGACTATGGGAGTGTCCTGGTATTTGATGAAGATCCCAAGTACCACAGTAGCAATGCAAGCAAAGACAATTGCTGTAATGGCCAAACAGGTCCCTAATGGGTCTTCATAAGACAGGAAAGTTATGTGTTTTGGAAGGCACAAGTCATGCTTGTTATTTGGATACTGTCCTTCTGGGCATGATAAACAATCATCCATGTCTGCAAAAGAAAATGCTATTGTTGCAGTGTGGAAGATTCTACATGAATCAAGGCATGATTAATATCGACTGAAGAGAGACGTTTAGCAAAATGGTTAATGCTTAATGCTTTAATGGGAGGCTCTCTAAGAATTATTTTTATTATTTTATTTATTGAATTTCTACACTATCCATCTCACCTAAATGATTCTGGGCAAATTACAACATAATAAAATAAAATATAATGTTATATATGTAAAGAAAGGAGCAAACATCCTGCGAGCTCCGGAACTTAAGATTTAAAAATTTTAAAATAATTAAAATTTTATTTAACTAAGCTTTCATCAGCCATCTGCTGACATCGTCAGAGTATTAAACTACCATTAGGGACATCTCTGCCTTTATATGCCATTAATCAATTTGGCCCTTGCACATGTAATAGGCCCTTCCAGCTGTCTCCCACTTGTAATCAGCTGTGTTGTTTTTGCTGTCGTTATGCTGGATGATGGAGGCTTAATTCCTACTGTTTCCTCCCTCCTAGCTTGCTTATCAGTGGGGGATGATGTTAGTCTGTCAGCCACTGCAATTTGCTGCCTTGTCCAGAGATGTCTGTAATGGTAGTTTAATACTCTGACGATGTCAGCAGATGGCTGACGAAAGCTCAGTTAAATAAAATTTTAATTATTTTAAAATTTTAAAATCTTAAATTCTGGAGCTCGCAGGATGTATGCTTCTTTCTTTACTAATATACCTGGAACTCATATTTTTAGAATAGTTTGTAATATATATATATTAAAAGTTATTGACTTTAAATTGGCTAAAGTTGTAAAGCTATTGGGAAATTCTTTAACATAGTGATTGAAAGTGCATAGAATTGACTGAATTCAAATTGACCTTTACTTTTTTCCCTTTCTGATTAATCTGAATAGTCAAAGTGATGCAAAATTGGATCAATGTAATTTTGCAATTGTCATAATACTTCATAAATTTCAGCAGATTAAATTAGGGTTGTGTTTACACCCATAGATATGGGGAAAGTAGAAGTATGCAGATAAGAATACATATATATCATTGGAAAGAGCCAATATCCAAACAAATAATTTGATTGAGTGTAAAAACACATCAACCTTAATTCTCATAGCCCAGGGATGGCTAACCTTTTTGATGTTGCGTGCCAAAAGTGGGGGGAGGGCAGGGGGGTTGTGTGCACATGTGCCCACACCCATAATTCAATGCAACCCCCCAACACTCACCCCACTTTTGGTATGCAATGGCACAGTGGGCCCAGTAGGCCCGTTGTTTGCCCTCCCGAGGCTCCCGAGGCTTTCTTGGCCTGGGGAGGGCAAAAATGGCCTTCCCCAACCCCCGCGGAGGCCCTCCAGAGGCCGGAAACAGCCCATTTCCCAACTTACAGTGGGCCTGGAAGGCCCGAAAAATAGCTGGCCAACCTGCACATGCGCTCTGAAGCTGAGCTAGGGCAATGCTCGCGTGCCCACAGATATGGCTCTGCGTGCCACCTGTGGCACACGTGCCATAGCTTCACCAACACGTTCATAGCCTGTGCTTTCTCATAGGGTCTTGACTTTGTTTTATCACTATCTATTTGGCCAATATCTATTTTGTGGCTTAGAGTACAAAGTTCCTTGTTTCTCAAATTCCTGGGAGGATATTAAGGAATAAGACAGAAAGTTTTGTTTTATTTCACTCATCTAAACATTTTTTCCCCTTATACAATTAGTACAGTTTCTCTTGAATACCCTTCCACCCTCATATGCATGGACCAATTATTCCTTTAAAGACAATACAACTTACTTTTATGATTTGTAATCCTTCCTTCTGGACATGGAAGGCACTCGTAGCAACAATATGGCTTTCCTTCTATTTTGGCCCTACTAGAACCAGGATTGCAATTATCATTACACACAGAAAGAGGTCTTTCCTGAATGAAAGAGAAGAACAGAATTGGTTTGGAGCTATTTGCATGCTATGATTGATTGTTTTTTGTCAATAAGACATACATGCCATGAAGGAATTGCTCTAGACTAGCCAAACCCAAATCCTGCAACCATTGTTCATATGTTTTAGTCTCCAGGCCTTTAACCATCTTAGTTGCTCTTATACATCTTCAAATATATGAAAATGATATACCATCAATTCTTCAAGCTACATTGGTCGCTCTGGTGAATGATCTCTGGCGGGCCCGGAATGGGGGTTATTCCTCCATCCTAGTCCTACTTGACCTCTCAGCGGCTTTTGATACCATTGACCATGGTATCCTACTGCTATGACTTGGGGGGTGGGGGGTACTGTTTTGCAGTGGTTCTCCTCCTACCTCTCGGGTCTACACAGTTTGTCTGGGTGGGGGGACAGAGATCCTCCCCGAAGCCCCTCACTTGTGGGGTGCCTCAGGGGTTGGTTCTCTCCCCCTTGCTCTTTAACATCTATATGAAGCTGCTGGGGGTGAGGTATCATCAGTATGCTGATGATATCCAGCTTTACATCTCCACCCCAGACCAACCCAGAGATGCCCTTTCTGTGATGATTAAGTGCCTGGAGGTGGTACGGGTCTGGATGGGTAGGAACAGGCTCAGACTCAACCCCTCCAAGAGGTTGAGGCTGTGGTTGCCAGCATCTCATGGTCTAGTGGCCCCATCACTCTTGATGGGAGGGAGTTGCTTATTCCCTCTGAAAAGGTTCACATTCTAGGCGTCCTCCTGGATTCATGGCTGTCCTTAGTGGACCATCTGACGGCCGTGACCAGGGGGGCTTTTGCACAGGTTCGCCTGGTGTGCCAGTTATGCCCTTTCCTAGACAGGGATGCCCCCTATAGAGTCACCCAAGCTCTTGTTATCTCTCGTTTGGACTATTGCAATGCCCTCTACATGGGGCTGCCCTTGGGGTGTACCCGGAGGCTCCAGCTGGTCCAGAATGTGGCCGCGCAGGTTGTTATGGGAGCTTCCTGTTACTCCCGTGTTACACCTCTCCTGCACAAGCTGCACTGGTTACCAGTGGTCCTTCAGATCCGCTTCAAAGTACTGGTACTTACCTATGAAGCCCTACATGGCATGGGCCTGGGGTACTTGCAGGACCACCTTCTGCCTGCCTCCCACCGCCCTGTGCGCTCACATAAGACTGCCCTCCTCCAGGTGCCATCGGCCAGACAATGTTGGCTGGTGGCGCCCAGGATGAGGGCGTCCTCTGTGGGTGCACCAACCCTCTGGAATGGGTTACTAAGGGGCTCCGGATGGCCCCCAACCTCTGCTCTTTCCGCTGTGACCTGAAGACATGGCTTTTCCAACAAATTTGCTTATCTGATGGGTGATTTTTAATTGGGAGATTTTAATTGATTATTTTAGTAGCTATTTTTATTGTTTTTATCAGTTTAATTTCTGTGAGCCGCCCCGAGTCCTTTGGGAGAAGGGCGGCATATAAGTATAAGAAAAATAAATTAAAAAATAAATAAAATATGTATTCAGCACATTTCTGTAGTTAAGTTTTGAGCTGATATGGGCAAGAATAACCATCTGAAGGATTTACCAGTTATGGATAGGCACAACTGATGCACAAGATGAACTTTTGTAAACCCTCCTGGCCACTGCGGCTACATCAGTAAAATGTCCAAAGATGCATACTAGTCTCTACACAAAATATATACTGTACCTGGTTAAATCTTGTGGGCCATGTAATGGAACCCTCCTGCATGTTGAATGTTTTGGAAGAGAAAGAATTTGGGTCCACCCATCCAACTTTGACTTTTGTAAATGTGTTATTTGAGTAAGTGACCCAGTTGAAGATATCAAATCCTCCATTAATATGCCCATTGTCATCAAAGGAAATATTTTCTCCAACACTGTTTTTAAATAAAGTATTTCTCAAAAATTTATGGAGCTAAATTGGGGACAAGGTAGAGAGACAATGAAGTCATGTCCAGTCAAAAAAAAAAAAAAAGTAAAATCATTTCACATTTGTATGGATGGTACCTGCCATGGCTGTTCATGTAGTCCTTTTTGCCTTATCTCTTTTATCTTTGCTCTCTGTTTTGACTTGGATGAAGTTACTGAATGCAAAGCATGTGCCATAATGTAAACTGCATTGTAGATGCTGTAACTGTGGCCAGACATGCTTGTGTCAAACACGGTCCCAGGCAGAGTCTCCAGCTTTTCCTCCCCAGTGCAGATCTTCTCATGTCTCTCCTCTACGGTGGAGTTTGAGAAATCACAATTAAAAGCATCTTTCCAGAAGATCCTGATAAACCCATCCCTATTTTCTGAGAGAGGGTTTCTTTCCTTCAGAAATTTCTGGAATCCTGTAGGATAGTTTGTGTGAACAGCAAATGATAGAGCCCCATGGAGGAAATGTAGGTCCCAATGTCTGATAAAACCAGGAGATGCAAAATCCATCTGTGCTGTCATAATCCACACTCGACTTTCAAATGATACACCATAAAATTTTGCAAAAACGAACATTAACCTTAAGATACTAATAGTATGTATTTCACCTTGTATAATAACAGTATTGGCAGTACTTCCTGTGACCATACGTGAAGTCCCAAACCATTCCATTGATGTTTCAGCAACATGACTTGAAAAAGATATTTGGGGTATTTTTTCTAATAAGTCTACACAGATTCCCTTCTGGGAGTAGATGGGAAGTATATTCTGTACAAATAAATCACCATTGTCATCATTTGAAGCAATCACACCAATCCAGGTCCACTTGAAATGCAGGAGTAATTCAAGAATGCCCATATAGTGATGGGTCACATTTGGAAACATCTGGTGGAAGAAATCTTTGGTTTTCTCATTTACTACTGGAGAAGATCCATAAATGATCTTAGGATAGAAATACATGGGAAAAGGTGAGGCATCGTTACAATCAGTCTTGTGATAGATTCTACTGAAAGATAAGGCATTGGAACAAGGTTTTCTCTTCATTACTCTCTATGTTACATTTAGCTGAGTTTAGTCTATTTCTTATTGTAAAAGAGAGTAAAATATGCCTTTCCCAAAAATCTATTTTGAATACTAGAATGGCAAGGAATAATATGGTTTTCAAAGTCCTTCAAAAAATATTTTGCAGCACATGAGTTCCTGGGATAAGAGTATGGATTGACTTACAGATGAGAAGATATGGAATGACCTCATTTATTACCTTCTGATGATAGATTAAACAACCATCAAATCGTTACAAGAAAAAAAAAGTCAGAAACTTTCCATTTTCTAATAGTCAGGCCCAAAATTATACTTAAGTTTAAGGAATCTTGTTCTTCCTCATGGTATTTCAATGCATACAACTCACCTGTGGAATTTTATAAGCACTTAAGATGTTTGTCATGTGGAGGCAAACTTGAGAATTAGGTCCCCCAATGACTCCCACAATGTTATTTTGAATATCACATTTGTAGTTGGGGATGAATTTGTCCTTTGTGGATAGAAGTTCCATTGAGGCAAGGTAGGTCCATTTTGCAAAAAAGTGGCTATATAAAATGTGGAAGCCTAAACTCACATTGGGTAAGAGTTGGGTATTCTCACTGATTTCCTTCACAGCAAATACCAAGGCCAGGATGTGCTGGTAATTCTGAATGAATAGCCTATATCAAAGAAAGAGCTTCAGGCTAGGGTTTTTTTCTATATGGTAACACTCATTCTACCTAGACACAGCACTATGAAAATTGACCTACTAAAAATAAGGCACTTCAAGTCAACTTCATGGAACTAAGTAGAAATCTCCTAACAGTTTGAGCAATCAACCAATGTAATGACTTGCCTTCTGAAATTGTGGGTGCTCCATCACTGAAGGCTTTCAGAAAGACAATCACTTATCTGAAACAGCTTGAAATGGGGGTTGGACAAGAAGACCTCAAAGATATTTCCAACTTTATTATTCTATGTTCTAGGTTTTAGAAATTATGATATTTTGACACACAGAGCTCGATTCCAAAAATATTTTGTTCTTAAATACCAATGTTCAGTTGTATATAAAAGACAACAGTGGCCAAAATTGTGGAAACCTTTTGGGAAAAGTGTATTTTCAAAAATTAGTTAATAACACCACATTTTTTTTTGAGTAGTACCATAAAATTATATATCAATGGAAAGATAATTGAATCAAGAATGTAATGCAATAACTTTTATGAAGGATTTGCTATTAAAATAGCAGTTACAGTATAAAGAAGAAAAGTGAAACACGTAGAAAAAAATGAGCTATACAAAAATTATCACCATAGAGAAAACGATATATACAAAAATTATCACGTCAGTTAATACATAGATGGGTAATCTTTAGCATGAATTACAGCCTTATAATGTCTTCCCATGGAGTGAACCAAGTCTTTTAGTTCTGCAGCTGTTATAATGTGAAACCAAGATTGAATGACTGCTTCTATTAACTGGGTTTTATTGGTGGGTCGCTTCTGACTAACATGTTTCTTTAGTCGGCTCCATAGATTTTCAGTTGGGTTAAGGTCTGGCTATTCCCAGGCCATTCCAGTAGTTGAATATGATTATCTTGAAACTCAGAAGAAAAAAAAAGTGGTGTTATTAGCCATCAAACCTGAAAACCCTACACTTTTCGCAAAAGGTTTCCACAGTTTTGGCCACTACTGTATTGAAAAGATATCATATTTAGAGATAGTACGGGGCTCCTGATTGAAAACCTGCCTCATGGTTTCTTTGAGGTCTTTCACTTTTTCAATGTTTCAAAATAATTGGAGCAATCAACCTCATTTACTGTAGAAAGGTTCTGTAATGAAGGGCAGTATGGTGTCCTTGCACTTCAGTTAGATGAAAACTGTGTCTTACCATTCGTGGTGCTATCATGTCTCCCATAATCTACAGCTTTTTTTATCCTCCAATTGAATTCATTGAATTTAATGAACTTGGCAGCTATTGCTACCAATATTAAAACTCTATTAGAACTATCTAATAGTTCTGACAATGACCAAATCAGGTTCCAACCAAAAAATTCAGAAAATTTTTAAATCTGGTCAAGAACAGATATTCAGGTGGTGATTAAAAATGGCCACGGCCAATTTCCCACTCCACACCATTTTTTTTGTAAGCGCCAAACAACAGTGACCTTGTGTGGCTGCTGTATTAATTTTGGTTAAGTTTGGTTCACAACCAAATCATATTGCAAGAAAAGTTATGGAATGAATTATGGTCGTCACCAGAGCTTCTACTGTACTTACTCAACTACTTACACAAGGTCATCAAAACTTTCCTCTGAAGGCCGCTTCTGAAAACTGATTGGGCTCAAAAAAATGTAGATCTGAGAGAAAATGCCTGCAATGATGAAATCACCTGGCTGGTAATACTTGTGGAGAATAGAAAGAGGTTCACCAACAGGACACTTAGCAATAGAAACCTTACTTGAAGCATGAGGAAGAATCACAATAACTATGATCAGGACCACAAATAACACCACTTTGTCTGAGAGATTTCCTGCCTTGTTCCAAATTGTCTGCCCCATCATTCAAATGTGAATGTTGGAAATCAAAAGGTAACATTCATCTTCTCCAAGAATGTTGCTAGAACTCTGCAGCATTGACCAACAATGATCACAGTGGTGTATTTCTACCTGCCTCTACTATCACTTCTATATGAGACATAAAGCATTAGTATGGATAACTGTTGAATTATCCTATTGTCCATAGGGAATATTTAAAGGCCTGTAAAAATAACATTAATTATGGTTATTTCATAATTGTAGTGGGATGGAGAAATAAATACCATGGAATTGGAATTATGAGATCTAAAATAAGTCCAGATTTCATCATGTTTATGTTTCTCACAACTCAGCTGGCATCTTCCCAATTTTATTCATTGAAATAACAAGAGACAAGTCAAGGGATGAAATCCAAAATTTTTCACTACAGGTTCTGTGGGCATGGCTTGGTGGGCATGGCAGGAGAAGGATACTGGCATGTGAAAACTAGGGGGTTGAAGGGTCTTTTACTCAAATTTTTAGTTAAATTTTTAAGAGGTTCTAAGGAGGGGGAGGGTTTGATTGGAATGCGGGTTGTGGGCATGGGGGATAGCCCACTAAGGGGAGGGGCGGGCCTGGCAAGAAAGCACGGCATGGGGGTGGGGATCCCGGGGTTGAGGGGGGAGTCAGAGTTTGTCCGGATAGTGCTTTGAACATCACTACCATGAGTGGGAGGGGTAGATATGGTGGGAGCAGGGGGCCATATCGAGTCAGGGGAGTGCAAACCTGCTCTTTATGAGCGGTGGTGCACTCCGGCCCCTAAGGCTCCACCCATTCCCCAGGTTGCACAGACCGTCAGGGCCCGGCCCTCCGGCTGATGCTGTGGAATGCCAGATCCGTAGTAAATAAAGCCCCCTTCATCTGTGACTTAATTGGTGAGGGGGGAGGGTATTACGGAGACCTGGTTGGGCCAGGAGGGGGGGTTCCCCTCGTGGAAATGTGCCCACCAGGTTTCCTTGCATTCCATCGGCCGAGGTCACAGGGCAGGGGCGGGGGAGTAGCGGTTATTATTAAAGAAGGTCTGAGACCGAGGGAGGCCACTGTTCCTCAGACGGCCGGCTGTGAGTCCCTCCTTGTGAAGTGGGGTCATGGGGTTCAGATGGGCTTGCTGATCAAGTACCTGGCTCCCTGCCACGTGGCAGCAGCTGTGCCCGAGCTCCTCGACGTTATCACCGCAGTGGCGGTTGATACCTCCAGACTTATGGTCATGGGGGATTTCAACCTGCCATCTGTGGGTGAGACATCAGAGGTGGCTTGGGAGTTCATGGCTTCCATGACAGCTATGGACCTGACCCAGTTAATTCATGGCCCTACCTGGACCTGATTTTTGTCTCTGGATAGTGGTTGAGTGATCTTGAGATAGGGGATATAGTCACCGAGCCCTTGTCATGGTTGGATCACTCTCTCTTCGCCTGGAACTTTGAATCGCTATACCCCATCTCAGGGAGGCAGAGCCGGTAAGATGGTTCCACCCCAGGCGCCTGATGGAACCTGATAGATTCCAGATGGAGCTTGGGCCATTTCCTGAGGCTCTGGCACACACCTTGACTAGGGATCTAGTGGCCACCTGGGATAGGGCGGCCACTGGAGCTCTGGATCAGGTCATGCCTTTGCGGCCTCTGACCCGGCGCCGATCTCACCTAGCTCCTTGGTTCACTGAGGAGCTGAGGGAGATGAAGCGCCGAAAAAGACACCTAGAGAGTAGTTGGAGGGCCAGTCTTTCTGAATCTGACTGGACACTGGTAAGATCTCATATTAAGAATTACCTAGTGGCAATAAAAGCAGCAAAATGTACATATTTTGCTGCTCTTATTGAGTCATCAGATAATCGCCCGGCCGCTCTGTTTAGGGTGACCCACTCCCAGCTCCACCAGGAATCACGGGAGGACCCCTTGGAGGGTAGAGCTGAGGATTCTGTTCAATATCTGTATGACAAAATCACTCAGATTCGGGAAGATCTGGACTCTGACTGGGTAGTTCCAGGGGGGTTGACTGAGGCAGGTCTTGAGAATGTTATCTGGAATGAGTTTGATCCTGTGACCCCCGATGACGTGGAAAGGATTCTGGGTGGACAGAATGTGACCACATGTTTATTGGACCCGTGCCCCTCCTGGTTAGTGCTGGCTTCCCGGGAGGTGACGCGAGGCTGGCTCCAGGGGATTATAAATGCTTCGTTGGGTGAGGGTGACTTCCCCGCCGCCTTGAAAGAGGTGGCGGTGAGGCCTCTCCTCAAGAAGCCTTCCCTGGACCTGGCAGTGTTGGCTAACTATCGTCCGGTCTCCAACCTTTGCTTTGTGGCGAAGGTTTTGAGAGTGTGGTTGCACGACAGCTCCCCCAGTACCTGGATGAAATGACGTATCTGGATCCGTTCCAGTTGGGCTTCAGGCCTGGGTACAGCACGGAAACGGCATTGGTCGCGTTGGTTGATGATCTCTGGAGGGCTCGGGACAGGGGCTGCTCCTCTGTCCTGGTCCTACTAGACCTCTCAGCGGCTTTTGATACCATTGACCATGGTATCATGTTGCACCAGTTGGAAGAGTTAGGGGTGGGGGCTGTATTACGGTGGTTCTCCTCCTTTCTCTCCGACCGGTCGCAGTCTGTGTTGGCAGGGGGGCAGAGGTCGACCCCGAGGCCCCTCATATGTGGGGTGCCACAAGGGTCGGTCCTCTCACCCCTTTTGTTCAACATTTATGTAAAGCCCCTGGGCGAGATCATCTGTGGTTTCGGGGTGAAGTACCATCAGTACGCTGATGACACCCAGCTGTACATTTCCACCCCGGACCACCCCAATGATGCCCTTGAAGTGATGTCCCGGTGTCTGGAGGCCATGCGGATCTGGATGGGGAGAAACAGGCTCAGGCTCAACCCATCCAAGACCGAGTGGCTGTGATTTCCGACATCCCGATATAGTCAGTTGATTCCATCGCTGAGTATTGGGGGCAAATCGCTGGCCCCCATGGAGAGGGCACACAACTTTGGTGTCCTCCTGGATTCACGGCTGTCTTTAGAAGAGCACTTGACAGCCGTGAATGGGAGGATTTTTCATCAGGTTCGCCTGATTCGCCAGTTGCGTCCCTTTCTGGATCGGGACTCCCTACACACAGTCACTCATGCCCTCATCACTTCCCGCCTGGACTACTGCAATGCTCTCTACATGGGGCTCCCCTTGAGGAGCACCCGGAGGCTCCAACTGGTGTAGAGTGCGGCCGTGCGGGTGGTTATGGGAGCAACAGGGTGCTCCCATGTGACACCTCTTCTGCGCAAGCTGCACTGGCTCCCGGTGGTCTTCCGGGTGCGCTTTAAGGTTCTGGTTACCACCTTTAGAGTGCTCCATGTCTTAGGACCTGGTTATTTACGGGACCGCCTAGTACCACAAGCAGCCTCCCACCGGCCGGTACGCTCTCATAGAGAGGGGCTCCTCCGGGTGCCATCAGCTAAACATTGTCGACTGGCAGCCCCCAGGGGGAGGGCCTTCTCTGTGGGGGCACCCACTATCTGGAACGAGCTACCCCCAGAGATACGGAGGATCCCGGATCTACGCACTTTCTGCCGTGCTCTTAAGATTCTTCTATTCCAACAAGCCGGCCTGGCCTAATTTTCTCCCCTGTTTTAAAATTCTTTTAAATCGAAATTTTAATTTGTTTTAAATTATTGGGATTTTTTAATTGTCTTGGGCTAAATTATTTAATCTGGTTTTAATTATATCTTTTAACTTTTGTATTTATGTATTTTATTTTGTGCCTGTTCACCGCCCTGAGTCCTTCGGGAGTAGGGCGGTATATAAATCTAATAAAAGAAAGAAAGAAAATCTCCATTTCCACCCCAATGCAAGGGAAGCATACTGCAAAATCTCCATTCCCAACCCACTCTGGGGCCAGCCAGAGGTGGTATCTCCTGGTTCTCCGAACTATTCAAAATTTCCGCTACTGGTTCTCCAGAACCTTTTAGAACATACTGGATTTCACCCATGGACAGGTCTGTACTTTAATTACCTATATGAAGTTAAATCCTGAATATGATTAATCAATAAAAAGATATTAAAAAATATTAAAAGATTTAAAAGTTCCATATGCAAGAAAGAAACATTTATTTATACTAAACTGTCCTTGAATGGTAACACTTTGCCAATTCTAATTTGGGTCAGTTTCGATTCTGGAATATTTGAAGTTCTGAGGGAGATTAGAATCATACTGAAAACATAGTTGTCTCATTGATAACATTGTCTCACGATCTATGCATTTGTAATTAAATTCTTTGAAATCCAAGTGATGCTCATTCTGGTAAAAGATTTATGTATTTCAGAAAAGTAGGTATACTTTTGAATTGCCATCATATGTGAGCCATCCCTAAACTGTCTGTCAAATCAAAAAAAAATAGTAATTTATCTTGAGTGATTTCATAACTATTATCAATTTGTGAGGACATCACTCCCCATCAAACCCCAATTTTCATACGAGAAACTTAGTCTCTCCATACATCGTTTACAGAACAATACTCTATGCTCATTTGAGGCAGACATTTTTTTCTTTTTATGACTCTTTAATCCCTTTGTGTTGGGGTGACTCAGTAGAGCTGAGCTAGCCAGATGATGCTTACACAGAGTTCGCAGCAGATATTTTTTCTTTGTGCCCTGATAGAGAAACATCTGCCACTGTCTAGGATCAAACTCACAACCTTCTGAACAGGATGCAAGCATATTCACCTCTAAGCCACTTTCTCGCTCTTTGGAGACATAAATTCTCAGTATAAAAGTTTTGGTCTAATGAAAAATAATTTTAATTTCAACAAATCTATATGATGCAAGTCAACTTGCAAGCATTTCTTTCTTATTTATTTATTTATTTATTTATTTATTTATTTATTTATTTATTTATGTGTTTGTTTGTTTGTTTGTTTATTTCCTTTTCTCCGGCCTCTATGTCAAGATAAATTACAACGTCTTCCTTGATTTGATGGACAATTTAGGAATGACTGGCATATGGAGGGAGAAAAATGGCAATTCAAAAGTACACCTACTTTTCTGAAAGGCATAAATTTTTTAACAGAATGAGCATCAAAGAATTTAACTACAAATGCATAGATTGTGAGACAACGTTATCAATGACACAGCTATGTTTTCAGTATGATTCTAATATCCCTCTGAGCTTCAAATATTCCAGAATCGAAAACTGACCCAAACTAGAATTGACAAAGTCTAAATGTTACCATACAAGGACAGATTAGTATAAATAAGTGTTTCTTTCTTGCATATGGAACAGTGGTGAAATTCATTTTTTTTTACTACTGGTTCTGTGGCTTGGTGAGCATGACATGGCTGGGTTTGCATGGCAGGGGAAGGATACTGCAAAATCTCCATTCCCACCCCACTCCAGAGGAAGGATACTGCAAAATCTCTATACCCTCCCCACTCCAGAGGAAGGATACTGCAAAATCTCCATTCCCTCCCCACTCCAGGGAAAGGATATTGCAAAATCTCCATTGCCCCCCCACTCTGGGGCCAGCCAGAGATGTTATTTGCCAGTTCTCCGAACTACTCAAAATTTCCGCTAACATTTCTCCAGAACCTGTTGAATTTCACCCCTGATATGGAACTTTTAAATCTTTTAAAATCTTTTTATTGATTAATCATTTTTAGGATTTAACTTCATATGGTAATTACAGTACAGACCTGTCTCTTATTATTTCAATGAATAAGATTGGGAAGATGCCAGATGAGTTGTGAGAAACATAAACATGATAAAATCTGGACTTATTTTAGATCTCATAATTTCAATTCCATGGTATTTATTTCTCCATCCCACTACAATTATGAAATAACCATAATTAATGTTATTTTTACAGGCCTTTAAATATTCCCTATGGACAATAGGATAATTCAACAGTTATGCATACTAATGCCTTATGTCTCATACAGAAGTGATAGTAGAGGCAGGTAGAAATACACCACTGTGATCATTGTTGGTCAATGTTGCAGAGTTCTAGCAACATTCTTGGAGAAGATGAATGTTGCCTTTTGATTTCCAACATTCACATTTGAATGACGGAGCAGACAATTTGGAACAAGGCAGGAAATCTCTCAGACAAAATGGTAATATCCATGGCCCTGATCATAGTTATTGTGACTCTTCCTCATGCCTCAAGTAAGGTTTCTATTGCTAAGTGTCCTGTTGGTGAACCTCTTCCTATTCTCCACAAGTATTACCAGCCAGGTGATTTCATCATTGCAGGCATTTTCTCTCAGATCTACATTTTTTTGAGTCCAATGAGTTTTCAGAAGCAGCCTTCAGAGGAGAGTTTTGATGACCATGTGTAAGTAGTTGAATAAGTAAGTAGTTTATTTGCAAATAAAATGCATGTTTTCTTTAACCTAGATAACATTTTCCAATTATTTATGTGATCTATATTTAAATCTATAATTTGGGGACAGAGACGAGGAAGGAAACAGAATATTATAAAAAATGTGTTCAATCATTTATGCAATTGTGTCCTCATTTGGTGATTTTCAATTCTTGAACTCTGCTGAAGGGGATTGCAAGATTCTTAGAGATGCAACCATATATAGGTATGTAGAAGTACAAAGTTGGATCATTGCGGGGGATCAACTATTTGGTTCTCATATTAGTAGGGTCAGCTGGAACACTAATTAAATTCAATGAATTCAATTGAAGCATAAAAATACAAAAGCTGTAGATTATGAGAGAGATGATAGGACCGTGAAAGGTAAGAGGTAACATCTTTAGTCTAATTGAAATGCAAGAATACCATACTTCCCATCATCATATAAGTTTTCTACAGTAAATGAGGTTGATTGCTCTACCTCTAATATCAAAAGATTGCAAAAGTGAAAGCCATCAAGGAAACTATGAGTCATGTTTTGATGCAGGAGCCCCATACTGTCTCTAAATATGGATATGTACAATAGAATAGAATAGAATTCTTTATTGGCCAAGTGTGATTGGGCATACAAGGAATTTCTCTTGGTGCTTGGAATTTGTCAACTGAACATTGCTATATTGTAATATTTTTGGAATCTAGCTTTGTTTGTCAAACTACCATAATTTCCAAAATGTAGACCAGAGAACAGAGAATAATAATGTTGGAAGTACCTTGGAGTTCTTCTAGCCTACCCTCCTGCTCAAGCTATTTCAGATAAATGGTTGTCCATTCTCTTTCTGAAAGTCTTCAGCAATGGAGCACCCACAACTGCTGAAGGAAAACCTTTCCACTGGTTGATTGCTCTCAGTGTTCGGAAATTTCTCCTTACTTCCATGGAGTTGACTTGAAGTGTATTATTTTCACAGCACTATTTTTGGTAGAATGAGGGTTACCATCTAAAAAAAATACCTAGCCTGAAACTCTTTTTTTAATATATATAGGGTATTGACTCAGAATTACCAACACATCCTGGCCTTGGTATTTGCTGTGAAGGAAATCAGTGAGAATACCCAACTCTTACCCAATGTGAGTTTGGGCTTCCACATTTTAAATAGCCACTTTTTTGCAAAATGGACCTACCTTGCCTCGATGGAACTTCTATCCACAAAGGACAAATTCATCCCCAACTACAAATGTGATATTCAAAATAACATTGTGGGAGTCATTGGGGGACCTAATTCTCAAGTTTGTCTCTACATGACAAACATCTTAAGCGCTTATAAAATTCCACAGGTTAGTTGTACGTGTCAAAAACCATGAGGAAGAACAAGGTTCCTTAAATTTAAGTATGATTTTGGGCCTGGCTATTAGAAAATGGAAAGCTTCTGACTTTTTTTCCTGTAACAACTTGATGGTTGTTTAATCTATGTTTGTAATGTGAAGGATCAGAAGGTAATAAATGAGGTCATTCCATATCTTCTCATCTGTAAGTCAATCCATACTCTTATCCCAGGAACTCATGTGCTGCAAAATATTTTTTTGAAGGACTTTGAAAACCATATTATTCCTTGCCATTCAAGTATTCAAGATAGATTTTGAGAAGGCATATTTTACATTCTTTTACAATAAGAAGTATACAAATTTCAGCTAAATGTAACATAGAGAGGAATGGAGAGAAAACCTTGTTCTAATGCCTTCTCTTGCTGTTGAATCTATCATAATACTGATTGTCATGCTGTCTCACCTTTTCCTATGTATTTCTATCCTAAGATCAGTTATGGCTCTTTTCCAGTAATAAATGACCAAACCAAAGATTTCGTCCACCAGATGTTTCCAAATGTGACCCATCACTATATGGGCATTCTTGAATTACTCCTGCATTTCAAGTGGACTTGGATTGGTGTGCTTGCTTCAAATGGTGACAATGCAGATTTATTTGTACAGGATATACTTCCCATCTACTCTCAGAAGGGAATCTGTGTAGACTTCTTAGAAAAATTACCCGAAATATCTTTTTCAAGTCATATTCCTGAGAGAGGAATCAAATGGTCTGAGACTTCTCATATGGTCACAGGTAGTACTGCCAATACTGTTATTATACAAGGTGAAATACATACTATTAGTTTCTTAAGGTCAATGTTTGTTTTTGCACAATTTTATGGTGTATCATTTGAGAGTCGAGTGTGGATTATGACAGCCCAGATGGATTTTGCATCTCCTGGTTTTATCAGACATTGGGACCTAAATTTCCTCCATGGGGCTTTATCATTTGCTGTTCACACAAACTATCCTAGTGGATTCCACAAATTTCTGAAGGAAAGAAATCCTCTCTCAGAAAATAGGGATGGGTTTATCAGGATCTTCTGGAAAGATGCTTTTAATTGTGATTTCTCATATTCCACCCTAGAGGAGAGACATGAGAAGATCTGCACTGGGGAGGAAAAGCTGGAGACTCTGCCTGGGACTGTGTTTGACACAAGCATGTCTGGCCACAGTTATAGCATCTACAATGCAGTTTACATTATGGCACATGCTTTGCATTCAGTAACTTCATCCAAGTCAAAACAGAGAGTAAGGATGAAAAAGATAAGACAAAAAGGACTTCATGAACAGCCATGGCAGGTACTCTCCATTTAAATGTGAAATGGTTTTACTTTTTTTTTTTCCAGACTAGAGATGACTTCATTTTCTCTCTTCCTTCTCCCCAATTTAGCTCCATAAATTTTTGAGAAATACTTTCTTTAAAAACAGTGTTGGAGAGAACATTTCCTTTGATGACAATGGGCATATCAATGCAGGATTTGATATTTTCAACTGGGTCACTTACTCAAATAACACATTTACAAAAGTCAAAATTGGATGGGTGGACCCAAATTCTTTCTCTTCCAAAACATTCAACATGCAGGAGGGTTCCATTACATGGCCCATGAGATTTAACCAGGTACAGTATATATTTTGAATAGATTTGTAGATAGTTCAATCCTCATTTTGAATGTTTAAAAAGTAGTTCCTTGCATGTCTACTTAAATAGCATAGTCAGTATGCACTCTTTAGGATTTGGAAACAGTGGTTTAAATTAAATATGTTACTTGTCCCAATCAGTGTGGCCAGGAGGAGGTTGCCCGTGCAAACTTTAATTTATGGGATGCCTCTGGGCTCAACACTCTTACCTGTCCTGCTTAACATCCTACCATTATAGCTAACATTGTTTCATAAAGTCTCACTCTCATGCCTTCAAGCAAGGCATATAAAAGGCATATAAAACAACAAACCAGCCATTTTGTATCTGTGTTTCAGTAAGAGCAATTCCTTCATGGCATGTATGTCTTATTGACAAAAATCATAGCACGCCAATAGCTCCAAACCTATTCTTCATTTTGTTCTTCACTTTCTTTCAGGAAAGACCTATTTCTGTCTGTAATGATAATTGTAATCCTGGTTCTAGTAGGGTTACAATAGAAGGAAAGCCATATTGTTGCTACGAGTGCCTTCCATGTCCAGAAGGAAGGATTACAAATCATAAAGGTAAATTGTATTGTCTTTAAAGGATTACTTGGTCCATGCAAATGAGTTTGAAAGGGTATTCAAGAGAATGTGTTCTAATTGTATAAGGGGAAAAATATTTAGATGAGTTACATAAAACCAAACTTCCCTCCACCGCCACCACCTCCTCCTCCTCCTCTGTCTTCTTCTTCTTCTTCTTCTTCTTCTTCTTCTTCTTCTTCTTCTTCCTTCTTCTTCTTCTTCTTTCTTTTCTTCTTCTTCTTCTTCTTCTTCTTCTTCTTCTTCTTCTTCTTCTTTTTCTTCATATCCTGCCAGGGATTTGAGAAACAAGGAACTTTATATTCTAAGCCATAAAACAGATGTTGTCCTAATGGATGGTGATAAAACCAGGTCAAGACCCTATGAGAAAGCATTGGTTATGAGCACTAAGGTTGATGTGCTGCTACACCCAATTATTTGTTTGGATATTGGTTCTTTCCTCTTTCATATATGTATTCTTATTTGCATACAAGTAGTTTCATCCTACCAATGGGTGTAAACAAAACCCTAATTTAGTCTGCTGAAATTTATGATGTATCATAACAATTGCAAAATTACATTGATCCAATTTTGCATCAGTTTGCTTTCATTCACTATGTTAAAGAATTTATTTCTTAATATTTCCCAACAGCTTTACAACTTATTTTTATTTTATTATGTTGCTATAATTTGCCCAGAATCATTTAGGTGAGAAGCACAGTGTAGCAATTCAATAAATAAAATAATAAAAATAATTCTTAGGCAGACGCCCATTGAAATATTATGCATTAACCATTTTGCTAAACTCTCTTCAGTCAATATTAATTGACTGAGTCATATAGACAATCATTAATTGTCTTGATTCATGTAGAATCTTCCACACAGTAATAATAGCATTTTCTTTTTCAGACATGGATGATTGCTTCCCATGCCCAGAAGGACAGTATCCAAATAACAAGCATGACTTGTGTCTTCCAAAACACATAACTTTCCTGTCTTATGAAGATCCATTAGGGACCAGTTTGGCCATTACAGCAATTGTCTTTGCTTGCATTGCCACTGTGGTACTTGGGATATTCATCAAATACCAGGACACTCCCATAGTCAAGGCCAACAACCGGAACATCACCTACCTTCTCCTCGTCTCCCTTGTGCTCTCATTCCTTTGCAGTTTATTATTCATTGGACAACCTGAAAAGGTCACCTGCCTTTTCCAACAACCTGCTTTTGGGATTGTCTTCTCAGTAGCCATTTCTTGTATATTGGCCAAAACCATCATCGTGGTGATCGTATTCATGGCTTCAGTGCCAGGATCCAAGATGAAGAGATGGCTGGGCAAACAATTAGATAATTACATTGTTGTTTCTTGTTCCCTCATTCAAGTCCTTGTCTGTACTGTATGGCTTATAACCTCACCCCCATATCCAGATGCTGATATGAATTTAGTGGCAGATGAAATCATCCTGGGATGTAACGAAGGCTCTACTCTCATGTTTTATTGTGTCTTACTCTACCTTCTTTTCCTTGCTGTTGTTGGTTTCAGTGTGGCTTTTCTATCCCAGAATTTGCCAAACTCTTTTAATGAGACCAAATTTATCTTCTTCAGCCTTTTGTGTTTTTGTAGTGTGTGGCTGTCGTTCTTTCCAACATATCTGAGTACCAAGGGAAAATACATGGTGGCTGTGGAGATCTTTTCCATATTATCTTCCAGTGCAGGATTATTGGGCTGCATCTGTTTTCCCAAATGTTTTATTATTCTTCTGAGACCTCACCTGAACAATAAGAGGGAGTTACTAAAAGGCAAGAAACAATGAATGGTATATTATGAATGATATAGTTGTTGTTTAGCAACTGCTTTAGTCAGAAACTGACCATTCCAAGTTATGATGGTGATTAAAAAAACAATTGTGAGTAATCTACAACCTCTAAAGGTCTGTAAAGCAAAGGAAAGTTGAAGTAAGATTATAAATACAGATAGCCTTTGACTTACTGTCACAACTGAGCCCAAAATTTCTGTTGGTAAGTGAGACATTTGTTAAGTGAGTTTTGCCACATTTTATGACTGTTCTTGTCATAGATGTTAATCACTGCAGTTGATAGGTTAGTAACCCAGTTGTTAAGTGAATCTGGCTGCCCCATTGACTTTGCTTGTCAGAAGGTTGTAAAAGGTGATCTTATGAGCTTGGGGGACAGCAATGGTCATAAATATGAACTAGTTGCCAAGCATCTGAATTTTGATTACATGATCATGGATTGCTACAAAGATTGTAAATGTGAAAAATGGTCATAAGCCACATTTTTCAATGCCATTGTAACTTTGAATAGTCATGAAACAAACAGTTGTAAGACAAGAACTATCTGTATAGTCATGGTTTCAATTAGTGACTGCTTCACTTAATAACCAAATTGATGATGATATTATCTATTCAGTTGAATCCGATTGATGGTGTTTCTATAGGTCTCTCCACATCTTCTGATCTTTTACTATTTCTTTATTTTCTATGCTCCGGCTGGTGTTAGCTTTGATAGTGTCCAACAATCATTTTCTTTTATGGTTTCCTCTTATCACTAAGTCTTCCAAATATAATTGCTTTCCACAGTGTACAATCAAATTATTGGTCCTAACCCTGATGCTATTTCACAAATCTTTAAAAACACAGTTTTACAATGCCTTGTGTTAGGTTGGCATTGAACAATTATTGCCTCTTCTTTGGTGATATATGTATCCTTTGTTATGGATGTACATTATTTCTTCTCTCTGTTTTATTGTTCTATTTTCATTCATTGATATTAGCATTTTTATAATACTATTGAAATTTTTCTCAGAAAGAAAACTAAAGTAATATAGAAAATGGAATTAAAAAAGGAAAAAAAAGAAAGTGAAGGGTTTTATTTTTTTATTATTTTTATTTAAGCACATACTGTATAGCCAGAGAAAGCTTCAATGCTTTTAACCAGTAGTTCTGGCAGTCTAAGATTTGTCAGTTCACTTTGTTCATGCATGCGTGTTATCTAGGGCAAACCACAGGTAGTGCAGAGAGAGCTCCTCTCATTCTCATTCTATGTAAATCCCTTTATGGCTTGGTGTCAACCAGAGACAACTTCTTCTGAGAGATGACAAACAACATTTTCCTACCTGAGAATAGAATAGAATAGAATAGAATAGAATAGAATAGAATAGAATAGAATAGAATAGAATAGAGCAGAGCAGAGCAGAGCAGAACCGAACAGAACCGAACAGGAGCTGGAAAGGATTTTGGGGGTCTTCTAATCTAGCCCCGTGCTCAAGCAGGAGAACCTATACCATTTCAGATAAGTGACTGCCTAGTCTTTTCTTAAAAACATCCAGTGATAAAGCACCCACGATTTAAGAAGGCAAGCTGTTCCACTGGTTAATTGTCCTCACTCTTAAGAAGTTTCTCCAGGTTGCTTCTCTCTCTGATTAGTTTCCAACCATGGGGCCTGCTATTCTGAATTGGTGATAATCTCAAATGTAATAATAACAAATATAATGGCAATAATAACCTGAACATGATTGTCAAGAGACACAGTTTAAGTGGATTGAGGACTGTCAATAGACTTTGTAAGGTTCCCATTTGCAATTAAAGTTAACCTATGATTTTTATCTTAAAGTATGAACTTTCCATCCTTTTGACACAAATACAAATAGTTTTTTAGGTCTTTAGCTAAGAATCTAGAAAGACAATAAAATGTTGGGATGAGTGATACAAGTCCCAGAATGAATTGGTTCCTTCTATATGGTGTGTCTATACCATTCCTATCAATGTTTTGGTCACAAAAAAAATTTGGTCAAAAAAATTTGGACCACATCCTGGACATAAATTGTTTCAACTTCTACCCTCAAAAAGACACTATAGGGCACTGCACACCAAAACAACTAGACACAAGGACAGGTTTTTTCCCCAAATGCCATCACACTGCTTAACAACTAATTCCCACAACAGTGTCAAATAATTTACTAAGACTGTATTATTATTATTATTATTATTATTATTATTATTATTATTATTATTATTCCTTACTAGTATCTATCACTTATTACTATAACCATGGGGTTGTATTTTTCAATTTATATTGTTTTTATTTGTTTCCTAGTACAATTTGATAGCTTATTAGTAACCTTGACTTTCACTAAGTGTTGTATCTTTTTATTCGTGATGAATGTATTTTATCCTCCTTATGTACACTGCGAGCATATACACCTAAGACAAATTCCTTGTGTGTCCAATCACACTTGGCCAATAAATAATTCTATTCTATTCTATTCTATTCTATTCTATTCTATTCTATTCTATTCTATTCTATTCTATTCTATTCTATGTGTAACATTGCTCATAGTAAATGCAGCACCACCAATCCTCTGCCTATCCTTCCCAAGCAATATCACTCAAGGAACATCAACATTGCTGGCATCATTTCTCAGCTCTACCTGTTTCAAATGATGATGGACTTCAAGACACCTCCTTCTAGCAACCTCATTGAGGATAGTATGTAAGTATTCAGGGAGAAATGGCCAAAGGGATATATGTAAAATAGTCTGAATTTCAATGAGTGTTAAGAGCATTGTTTGAATGTTTATAGATGCCAAGATATAGAGTGTGTCATTTGGTCCTGAGGGATCTGTAGAGTGAAAAATATTCTCAAAGATTTTTTTTCTCACCATCAGCTTTGATGGTGTCCAGCAATCACATTCTTTGATAGCCTGGTTTTCTTTTACCACTAACTCTTCCAAATATAATTGCTTTCTTCGGTGATTCTTAACAATTAGTAAGATTAAATAATGATAATAATGTGTTTTCCAAACCAGTCATCAACAAAAGACCTCTAAAACATTGACATGTGTTAACATATATAAAAATCAACATGCTCATTTCAACTCTTTAAAAGTAAAGAAAATCCCATTTAAATGCATAATGTAGTCCTGATATCCTAACATAAACAAAATTTAAAAAAAATCAAATTTACTGTGACAAAAAGAGATCACTTCTCCCTTAGAAAAAACAACATACACCTAAGTGTAAAACCTGATTCTGTAATGACTCTAGGGAGCTAAAGTACAGAAGCAGGAAGCATTAAAAGCATTTTTTCAGTGAACCTCTGAACTAACACATATAGTTGTTGTGCAGTAACTATGTTGTGTCTGACTTCGCGACCCCATGGACCATAGCAGAGTGTTTCCCTCTCTTCCCCTGTCTCTTGAAGTTTACCCAACTTCATGTTCATAGCATCGATAACATTATCAAACTAACACAGAAAGTTTAATATGTGCAGGTCTTGATCTTCTGCTCTGGGTTGCAAGCTCTCTAGGATAGATGAGTTACTTAGAGAATTATGCATCCAATGAATCCTTCCTAGGGTCTAATATATCTACTGGCTTTTCCTCAGAGTTCATTTACTCTATTCACTAGTCCTTTATGTGGCAGAAAATGCTGTCTTGACCCTGCTAGAAGAAAATGGGTTGGAATAAGGTAAGTCATCCAAAGAACAAACAGGGCAAATTGCCTGGAGCAGAAGCACAGTTTACTCGAGAGTTTAACTTTAGCAATTAATGGTTGCAACATAAATTTCAGTTCTCAAGTGGTGAAATCTGAACAGGTTTGCCAATGGTTTGCAGGCCACATATGCATATGCATGTGTAGTGTGCACCAAAAGCATGCTGCACACATGCATGCACAGTGCACACCAAAGATATGCTTCGCACGGAAAAAGAAGACTTCACTAGGTATGTAGAACAGCAAGTGGGGGGAACAGCTGTGCCGTGCGATTTAGCTTCATAAATATAATATATAAACTGCGTGACACAAATGATTCTCGGAAATATCGGTTTGGATGATCCGGTAGCTTTTTTTAACTACTGGTTCAACCGAATCAGTAGCTTTTATCACTATCGGTTCACCCGAATCGGGGTGAACCAGTAGCATTTCACCCCGGCTTTATACCTTTTTTTTGTTCCTCCAAGGCACAGAACCCACTAACCTCAAGGAAGTATTGGAAACTGCAATTAGCTTGGATGGGCAAATATGCATAGTGGTTAGGTACCCTGCTGGGCTTGTAAGTTTTCTTCCACTCATTTACCATATCAACTTCCTGCTTAATTTACATTGAGGCTGAAGTGGGTAATCAGAGGAAAGGAACTTTTGTTTATCTTGAAATGAATGTTTATCACCTTTGGTCAGTCTCAAATTCTTTATCAAATCAATTTCTCATTATTGGAAATAGTTGTGAGGAACAAGGAAAGATTGAATGGCAGATTCCTTCCCACATCATCATGGCTTATCTTCCTTCCAGTGGAAGAATGCAACCAAATACCCTATTTTTTCCTCTATAAGATGCCCCCATGAGTAAGACTCCCTCATGTTTCATTGAGAGTAAGTAAGCACACTACAAGCCTTCACTGTGCAGGAACCATCTTATTAGAGAGTGAGTAATACAAGAACAGGAAATGCATCACAGGAACAAAAGAGATGAAACCTAGAGTGGCAATGTGATACAAGAAACAACTACAATAGGGAGGAATGATAGAGCTGGATATAAGGTAGAGGCTCATCTGGCAGAGCTGGAGGATGGGGATGGGCCATGCCTTCTTTTCCCAGCCTCCTGTGTATAAGAGCCCCTCCATTTTCAAGTAAATGTTTTTAAGAAAAAGTAGTGTCTTATACATGGAAAAATATGGTAGTAGTGATCTTTGCCTATGTGCAAGCAAATTTTAAAAAAGGGGTTCCATTTCCTCCTAATCCAGATAAACTGGTGGTTTTTTCCCTCTTTCAGTCTTGGAAGCTAAATCTCACACTGG